GCTGATCCAGGGCGCATGTACTCGCGTACAGCCTTTGTCGTCTTGCTGATCGTTTCCAGTTTTGGGCTCTCTGGTTTCGTTTTCAAAAGTCTGTCTTTGTCCCTCTTCCCGCCATCTTTTTCGTTTGTTTACTTTCGTAAAATTGTTTAAAGTCTCTGAATGTGCGCTTGACCGCTTGTCTTCACTTGGGTAAGTACTTCTAGTCAGTTTCTATCGCGTTTTCTTCCGCTCCCCCCCTCAATCGCTCAAAAGTTCATGCTCATGGGAGGCGTCCCCCCCCCGCTCACTTTCCCCCCCTTTCGGTAGGGAAGGGTGGGGGGCTACTTTTCCTCTTTAAACGCTATGAGATTGACTCACGTTCATAATCGGTCTTTCGACCTCGCTTTCATTTCTTTTTATGCCGCGTGATCTCCGACGCTCGACCCGGTCAGCATTGCTAATCCCATTCTGTCTCTCGGCACGGAGAACCACACGGAGAACCGTCGGAATAATTCTCCGGCATTCCGCCGTTGAAGAGGCGACCTCTTAAAAGTTCCATGGCCAGGGTCCCTTCGCCAAGCCCGGGGGGGGGGGGTTGCGAGCCTGCGCACCCCCTTCTTCGGCCGGATCGCAGCCTAACCCCCGGGAGGTCCTGGAGGTGCGACTGCTAGTGCGCCGCCATAAACCGGAAGTCAGCCAGCGAGCTCCTTGATGGTGGGCCGGCAAGGGAGGTGAGGTGAGGCCTCCTCCCCGCCGCAGTGTTCCCCCCCCAAGCTGAGTTAGTGTGAGCTAGTTCACAGTTTTTTAGCCTTTGGCTCACACATTTTTGTCTTAGCTCAGGAAGGATGGCTCCAGAGCAAACTAATTTATGCAGTAGCCAAATCGCTCACTCACAAGTTTAATGCCAATAGCTCACAAAGTAGAACTTTTGCTCACAAGACTCCACAGCTTAGAAGGAGAATTGATAATGAGGTCTGGCATGATGTAATGAAGACATTCCTGTAGACATCATCCTAAAGCAACAATACAATAATGCATCTACATTAGGCAGCATCAGTGTTTATATGCCAAGATAATGAACCAGAAGGGGGCTCTCATAAAGAAACTGAAGAAGTGAGCAGTGACTCAAAGCTCATACCCTGCCACAATTAACTGGACCCTTGTTCTTGCTACTGGAGTTTTGCTCTTTTCTACTGCTACAGACAAACACAGCTGCCCATCTTGTTTTTTTCCCCCCTGACCACCTAAGAAATGCGTTTGGTGAACATGGGCCATAAGCACATTGGACTGGAGGGAGGTCTGCCCATCACTACCTTTGAACAATGAAAATGTTTCAGTTGTTTGATATTACAAGATAAATGTGAAGAAGAAGAAGAGAACAGATTGGATTTATACCCCGCCCTTCACTACCCAAAGGTGTCTCAGAGCGGCTTACAAACGCCTCTCCCTTCCCCTCCCCACAACAGAGACCCTGTGTGGTAGGTGGGCCTGAGAGAGCTCTGACAGAAACTGCTCTTTTTTCCCAAGAGCAGCTCTTATCAGAACTACGGCTTGCCCAAGGTCATTCAGCAGGTGCAAGTGGAGGAGTGGGGAATCAAACCCGGTTCTCCCAGATTAGAGTCCACACACTTAACCACTACACCAAATGTGGACAGTCACCACCTTGTCTAGAAAGAAATACTGAAAAAACAGTTGTGAGAGTCTGGACCCACAAATCAAGATAATCAAGAAGACTTACAGAGAAAATTTACAAAGAATTTTTTTCTATATGTTGTTAAACACTACATAACAATGAACAAATTCCATCAAATCATAAGAAAATCCTTGTATGAGAATATTCCATAAAGTAGTACAAGAGCTTTCACACTCATAAAGTGCTATCACAGAACCAGGAATAATATAATGCATTTAGTAGAAGGGCGCTGATCTCAAAACTATTCAGGCTGCAAACATGCTATTCAGTTTCTGATGGATCCCAGGCATCTCAGTTGTTTGATATATCATAGGTATAAATGCTTTAAACTGGTGAAATCATAAAATTATACAAAGGAAAGAGCGGGATACTGAAAGTCTGATGGGAATCACTTGATGCCCTTCATGGAGCAGGAGCTCTGAGAGATAGCTGGTGAACCTCTTTATGTGACAGTGAAGCCTAGATCATGAGAGTGGTTTTTGGGGCTCCGGTTTGAAACTTGAAGGGAGACTAAGTAGCGGATTACACTATTGGTACAGTAACCAGAAAAGGCACTTCTGAAAGCTTACATTATCTAATTTACTAGTTTTTAAAAGAGACTTTAAATTAGAAAGTATTATCTAAAGGTGCATTATGGAGCAGGGACAGGACTCTTTTGGTCCCAATAGCAGTAGCACTCCTCAGTATGGCTTTTCTGCTGTTTCAGAGTAAGTGTTTTGGTAGAAAACAACCAAAAATCTTTCTGAGGACAAAAATGAAACGATCCTTTCCTTGATCATACAATCAAAGGAAATTCTGTAGAGAGTCTGCAGATGTGAAGAAGGCAACAGACAGATGTGACAATGGTAAAAGAATGGGAGAGATTACCATTCACCTGGAGTGTGTATTCCATACAATATACCCTATGAAAAATAAAGGGGTTTAGTAAGCACTAACATTGCTGCATAAAGAATCAGGTTGTAGAAGCCTTAGCAGTGATGAAAGTCTTTGGCCTTTTTGCGGTACAGTGATTCCTTTAAGGATTCCTTTAAGCAGTGGCAAGCTAGTCACAGTGAGGCTGATAAAATGGAACACAGGCTATGGCAAATAAAATGCAAGTCTGTGGTCAGGCAGGCAAAAAGGGAATATGAGGAGCATATAGCAAAAAATGTAAAGACCAACAATAAAACTTTCTTCAAATATATTAGAAGCAGGAAACCAGCCAGGGAGGCAATGGGGCCCTTGGATGGCCAAGGGGTAAAAGGAGTACTGAAGGATGATAGGGAAATGGCGGAGAAGCTGAATGCATTTTTTGCCTCTGTCTTCACTGTGGAAGATGAGAAGTGCTTGCCCACTCCAGAACCACTGATTTCAGGAGGGGTGTTGAAAGACCTGAGTCAAATTGAGGTGATGAGAGAGGAGGTCTTAAAACTGATAGACAACTTAAAAACTGATAAATCACCAGGTCCAGATGGCATACATCCGAGAGTTCTGAAAGAACTCAAATGTGAACTTGTGGATCTCCTCACAAAAATACGTAATCTTTCCTTAAAATCTGCCTCCATTCCTGAGGACTGGAAGGTAGCTAATGTCACTCCCATCTTTAAAAAGGGTTCCAGAGGATATCCGGGAAATTACAGGCCTGTCAGTCTGACGTCGATACCGGGTAAATTGGTGAAAACCATTATTAAGGAAAGAATGAGTAGGCACATAGATGAACAAACTGTAAGGGAAGATCTTGTCTCACTAACCTGTTAGTGTTCTTTGAGGGGGTGAACAAACATGTGGACAAGGGGGATCCAATAGATATTATTTACCTTGACTTCCAGAAAGCTTTTGATAAAGTTCCTCATCAAAGGCTCCTAAGTAAGCTCAAAAATCATGGGATAGAAGGACAAGTTCTTTTATGGATCAAAAACTGGCTAGTTCATAGAAAACAGAGAGTGAGTGTAGGTGGGCAATTTTCTCAGTGGAGGGTGGTAAGCAGTGGGGTACCGCAGGGATCAGTACTTGGTCCACTGCTTTTTAACTTGTTCATTAATGATTTGGAGATGGGAGTAAGCAGTGAAGTGGCTAAATTTGCGGATGATACAAAGTTGTTCGGGGTGGTGAAAACCAGTGAGGATTGTGAGGCACTCCAAGGGGATCTGTCAAGGATGGGCGAGTGGGCGTCAACATGGCAAATGGGGTTCAATGTGGCCAAGTGCAAGGTGATGCACATTGGAGCCAAAAATCCTAACTATAAATACACGTTGATGGGGTCTGAACTGGCAGAGACTGATCAAGAGAGAGATCTTGGAGTTGTAGTGGATAACTCACTGAAAATGTCGAGACAGTGTGTGACTGCAATAAAGAAGGCCAATGCTATGCTGGGGATTATTAGGAAGGGTATTGAAAACAGATCAGCCAATATCATAATGCCCCTATATAAATCAATGGTGCGACCTCATTTGGAATACTGTGTGCAGTTCTGGTCACCACACCGTAAAAAGGATATTATAGCTTTGGAAAAAGTGCAGAAAAGGGCAACTCGAATGATAAAAGGGTTGGAACACTTTCCCTATGAGGAAAGCCCTTAGGACTCTTTAGCTTGGAGAAACGACGACTGAGGGGTGACATGATCAAGGTTTATACGATTATGCATGAGATAGAGCAGGTTGAGAAAGAGCTACTTTTCTCCCTTTCTCACAATATAAGAACTCGTGGGCACTAAATGATATTGCTGAGCGGTCAGGTTAGAATGGATAAAAGGAAGTGATTAACACATGGAATTCACTGCCACAGGAAGTGGTGGCAGCTACAAGCATGGACGGCTTCAAAAGGGAATTAGATAAACATATGGAGCAGAGGTCCATCAGTGGCTATTAGCCACAAGGTATAGATGGGGACTCTGGGGCAAGTGATGCTCTGTCTTCTTGGTGCTTGGGGGGTGGGGTCAACAGTGGGAGGGCTTCTAATGTCCTGGCCCCACTGCTGGACCTCCTGATGGCACTGGTATTTCTGGCCACTGTGTGATACAGAGTGTTGGACTGGATGGGCCTTTGGCCTGATCCAACACTGGCGTCTCTTATGTTCTTATTATAACCAGCTAGAATACCAAATATACAGATTTATGAACTCTAATGAAATCCCAATATACCTTTAAAAACAATTTTGTATGTGCTTGTGCCAATAAATATTTTGTGCTACAAAGTTCATTAAATCTAAAATTCTTTGGGTCCATTTCCTCAGATGTAAATTTTGATGTTCCTTCAAAATTCTGCAGAAAGATAGTGTGATAATGAACTGCGCTAGAAATTTCTTGAAAGACACAAAAATATTTTTAAACACCTAATTTTATGTGTTACAGGTTGCAGTAGTCAAGTTGAAGAATACAGATAAGGTATTTGCCATGAAAATACTAAATAAATGGGAGATGCTGAAAAGGGCTGAGGTAAGACTTGAATCAAGAAATATATACTTTCAAGATATTATTGTGATGTTTCATGTCAGTTATAAACAATAGATTAATAAGAAGAAAATATGGATGCTGCATGCAATAAATACTGGGACATAATACCTAAGGCAGGATGGTGCTTTCGCATTTTCATTTGAGAATTGGTCCTTGTAGCCCAGTATTATCTATTCTGACTAGCAGCAGCTGTCCATTGGCTTAAGCATGAGGCCTTTCCAAGCTCTCCTACTCGAGATCCTTCCCTGTGAGATGTCAGGGAATGATCCTGGGAGATTCTGCCAGTAAAGCATGCACTCTACCACTGAGTGTTGCTGCTCTTTGGTTGCAACAGTAATTTTACTATTCCGATGGTCCAGAGGAGGGAAGGAAGCATGGTACAGCCCGATCTTGGAAACTAAGCAGGGTCAGTACTTCAAAGGGAGGCCTCCAAGGAATATTTTGCAGAGGAAGGCAATGGCAAACCACCTCTGCTTCTCATCTGGCCCCTTGCTGGGGTTGCCATAAGTCGGCTGCAACTTGATGGCACCTTACACACACACAGAATGGCCCAGTAGCTAAATAACAATGGAAAATGTATATATCATTGCTGGGCTTTGATCAATCAAGCAAGATTGGTAGGAAAAATAGCTTATCTTGCATGAAGAAAATAATTCAGGTGCTATTAATAACTTTTGGTAATGAGGAAAAATTCAAACCAAGTCTGACAGAAGATATTTTAAAAACTTGTTATCTTCAGTTTTTTCCCTCTGTATAAATCACAATTTGTTTTACTTTAGCAGAATAAAATGCTCCAAGTTTTAGTTATGACATGAAGTATTGCAGATTATTTCTGGATAACTGAAATGTTACACATTTACATTATTTTTTGTTGCTTTGTAATAAACTGTCATGACTAAATTGTGTCATGTATAGTGTGTGGGTATGTGCACAGAGTAGAAACAGAGTAGAAACATACATGCATATAAAATTTTACTTGGTCCAACACAGCTCTTCCAACGCATGGTGAATTCCATTCACCTATAAACAATGGAATGCAAAAATCCAATCTGACATACACTGTCCCAGGACTCTGTATAGTAGTACAGACAATTTCACTTGTGCTCCTAGACAGTTTCACTTGTGCTCTTAGTTAAAAATAGAACCTTGAATACAGTCTGACCAGTTAGTTACTAAACTCATATGCTCAGATCCAAAGAAGTACTTAGGCTCACAAAACAAAACATCTTTTCTTTGAACAGCTGACCTCATATAAAACGTTTTGAAACTGTGCTGAGTTTCAAAACAAGTTTTCTGTGGCTTCTGTGTTTGAGAAACATAAGCCTAATGCCCCTCTAGGTTCATGGAATTAGTGCTTTCCTTTCATTTATTAGCTTCATTGGCCAGAGGTCTTAAGCCAAACGTACAAACAGCTACTATAAAACACATTACATATAATTACAAAATAATTTAGACCAAACATTTTTACAATAAATACTCATAAACAATATTAATAGACAACATTTTATAGACTTCCTTAAACTCTATAAAATCCCATGATATTATGGAAATTTGTTTTAGAATTTTAAAAATTTGTATACATAATACTACCTACAGCATTTCAAAGCCGCTTTAAAAATAGCACTATCGATAGATATTTTGCCACCGAGCGAGTTGTTTCAGGGTCCTCATCTGCTAGGAGTATGGTTATCACCCAAGGTTCCATAGGGAGGTGATGTCTATGTAAAATAGGAGGAATCCAACAGGATCTGGGACCAGTCCACTGGTGGCAAAATAACAAAAGATGATCTAAAGTCTCTGTTGCACATGATCCACGATCACATAATCTATTTGAATACTGTTTTGTTTTTTTTAGCAAAACAGCCACTTAGCTCTGCAGTTGGGCAAATGGCAGTAGCACTACAGTAGGGTGGGCCTGCCTAGATCTTAGGAGCCCTGTAGGGTTGCTAGCCCCCCGTGGGCCCCACCCCCACTGCCAATCAGCTGGACGGCAAGGGGACTTAGCAGGAGCAGGAGGGAAGCCCAAGCTACATTGTTGGCAATGTGGCAACATCATTTACGGCATGTACCAGAAGTGATGTTGTCACGTCAGCACCATCTGGGTGACTCTCTGGTATTTGGGCAAAAACTCTGTGGTAGAAATCATTTTTGCCATAAAGTTTTTACCCAAGTGCCAGAACATCGCCAGAACATCCCAGCGTGATGATGTAACTTCCAGCACAAATTGAAATGCATGATAACCATACTAATAACATCCTTTTGGCCATGTCCTACTGCAGTTACATCCTCTTTCCCCAGGAATATGACCCCCTTCTACAGGGGCCATTCCATCACCCAAATATTGGCAGCCTGCATTTAGCAGCATGGCTCATTCACTGAACAACCTCCAGTCCTCTGAATCAATTAAGCAGATATTTCTCCTGGGCTATACCTGGTCACATGTCCCATAAGAAAGGTCTTTTGAATACTTTCTAAATTTAGTTCAAGGGGGACTATTGGCTATGTTCATAAGGATCCATGTAGCTGCAATAGCATGTTTCCATGTACACATGGAAGAAAAATCCCTCTTATTTATTGAATTTTGAAGACTTTTCTGCCATGCTTTCCAGAATCTTCCAGAAGAATCTCCTGATTTATTACTCTCTCTCCTTTTTTCTGTCTCTTTGACTGTTAAGTCAAATACCTGAGAGATAAAGATATTACCAGATATTACCAATGTCATTATTTTCTCTGTTCATATAATACAATACTAATGAATAGAGAACTACTCAGGTTTTTTTTATTTGTTGTAAACAAATTAACACCCCCAATATGATGTAAAAACTCAAAAAGATTAAATTTAATAAGTTAATTTTCTAGTTCACCTGCATACCACTCTTTGTCCTGGTGCCTTGTTTTAGAGCTTCCTACTTAAAGTGAAGGTATGGACAGGCTGCTGCCCTCTAGATATGCTGGGGCCATGTAGGCCCGCACTGGATGTGTGTAAACACCCCTGCATGTGGTGGGCACAAGATTGTTTATTATGGTTGTTATGGTTATTACAGGGTTAAGATCATTTATACCTGTTAATGTCTGAATTGTAATGGGGAAAGGCTTTATTAGATTTTGAGACAGAAATGCCATTCCAAAAGAATGGACATTTGGGGTAATGTTGATTGCATAGGCTCTTCAGAGTCGCAATGTTCCTGATTGTTTAAGAAGTGAGAGCAGGCTGGAGAATCAAGTGATTACTCATCCACTTTCTTTCCCCCCCCCCAAACACAAATTTCCTTCACTGGTCTTCTATCAGTCTTGCAGCTTTGTTGCAGCAGTGTTAACCACTGATAGGCTTAACCAGTTTTCTGACTTATCCATGATGTGGTATCATCTTAACTACCTATAATTAAGGTGAGAGATGGAAGGAGTTGGCAACGTGATCTTGTGCAGCGGCTTAACCATGGTTAACATAAAGCTTAGCTCAAGTTAAGAGGGGACACACACCATAGTTTAGTAATTGGGAACATTTAGGTCTAAACCAGTCCATACTTCAATATTTTCAATATTATATTTCATCATTGTTTCCAAAGCTTTGGAAGGAGAATATGTTTGTATTGATATTTTAGGGAGTAGAAATGATTCAGCCCACTATAAACTATAAAGGGCCGCGGTGGCTCAGAGGTTAAGACTCTGAACTGCAGACCGGAAGGTCTGTAGTTTGGCAGTTTGAGACCCTAGTGCCGTGTGACGGAGTGAGCTCCCATCTCTGGCCCCAGCTTCTGCCAGCCTAGCAGTTCAAAAGCAAGAAATTGCAAATAGATAAATAGGTACTGCTTCGGTAGGAAGATAACAATGTTCTGCGCACCTCAGCGTTTAGTCATGCCAGCCACATGATCATGGAAATGTCTTCGGACATCGCTGGCTCTTCGGCTTGGAAACAGAGATAAGCATCACCCCCTAGAATCGGATTCGACTGGCTTTTGAGCAAGAGAAACCTTTACCTTTACTTATAAACTGAATGTCACAGTGAAATTAAATTATATGAACTTCTTAAAACGTTTTCATCAATTAAAAAGCAACCTAATTATCAGTTGCTGTCCAAGAGAATATCTACCTTCTTGAGTGGTAAAGAATTGGGCAACCTTTGCTTTATCACTCTGGTTGCAGGAAAGACCTGTTCCACATGCTGCTGTTTTCCCATCTTTTGGATCGTTTAAGTAAATATATTTTGATAAAATTAAATTGTACCTAAAACATTATTTTTTAACCCTTCAGACAGCTTGTTTTCGAGAAGAAAGGGATGTATTAGTGAATGGAGACAACCAGTGGATTACAACATTGCACTATGCCTTCCAGGATGAAAACTATTTAGTAAGTGTTTAATGAATCTTTTGAAGTCCATTCATTTCTTGATTGGTAGTGTCAAATAGATGTGTGTGCACTTTCACAGTCTGCTTAGTCTACCAAAATCCAAATGCATCAAAGAGATGCAGTAGATTCAGGATAGTCAAAAGAAAGTACTTGTTCACTCAGAATGTGATTAATTTGGGAAACTCGGTTCCTTAAGATATAGTGATGGTGGCCACTTACTTAGCTTATTTTAAATGATTATGAGGGAAATAAAAAATAAACAAAATTATTGGAGGGTGGGTCTATTAGTACCTCTGAATACCAGATGCTGGGGTGAGGTAGCTACAGGGGGAGGCCCTGGCCTCTGTGCTCTGTTTGCTTTTAGACCTTACATGGACATCTTATTTGATTTCCCAGTGAATCAAGGTGTTTATGGATCACTGGTTTGTTTCAGGAGGGCTGTTCTTATGTTTGTGGTAGTGTTACAGAGTAGTAGAAGGAAGTTTTTGTAAACATTTAAAAAGATGCTAAATGGGTTTCTTCTGTTTGCTATTTAAGCAAGGCATAACATTTCTTGCCTAGTCTCAACCTTGCATTTCTGAAGTCATTGGGCTGGTGGTGGGAGGGATGATTTTATATTCCAGTGTCCTACTTTGTACCTGGTGGAAGTGGGTGGGAGGATGGTGAGAGAACAAAATGTCTCAGTGCTGCAGAAATGGACTCCTGCAGAAATACACAGTCTTGCTTTGGCAATATTGCACCTACATTCCCTTCTTTTTGTGAGAGAGGAAAATGTACCTGTTCCACCACTGAAGCAGTAATATTGGGTG